TAATTTAACAGAGAGAGTAATAGGGATAGTTAAAGAGACATGGTAGAGTTTAGGGAGGGATTAATTTCATATCTCTCTCAAGTATACTTTGTATTGGGGGAGGAGTTTCGGAGCATACATGCTTAAAATAAATGGAGTTGACCATAGTCAGGATCATCGAGTCAATTCAGAGCAAACGATCCTTCCCTTAGTTTCACGGCATGTGCTTCGCCAGAGCTTTGAGTTCAGACATTTCAAACCGCGTTTGTCACGTGAGATTTCCAATTGAACCCTTTATTTTATCTACAAGAGTAAATTGTTCTCGTTCCACTGGCCATGTCTCGGGATATGTCATCTTGTTCTTATTTTGTTTTAGTACTGCTCACATATTGCTTGCTCTGTTTCTACTCAGTCCGTGGACGTCACTGGGTTTGTAAATGAATGCAAGGAACTCGACTGGGATCTGAATTTCACTCTTCGATTCCTTAATCCCAGCTGCTAACCATTATTCTACCATATTTCCAAAGAATCTATATATTCTATCAATAGTTAAATACGTGCCTCGTAAAACTTTTTAGAGCCATATCCATTCGCTGCAGGAAATTATGATCTTAATAAAACCTGAGTAATTCGTTTGTTTGGGATTTTTTTTCACTTTTCTCTGGCCTTCTTCGTCTTGGTGATATATTGACAAAATATTCCACCGAGTGAGTGACAAAACCTTGTGACCCGGAAAAAGAAAAGATAACTATTGCCCCCCCCACCCAAAAAAATAACGACAAAGATTCTTCTCGTATTAACCGCTTTCCCGCCAATTATTTTGGGAAAAACGTTTCATTTTCAGACGGGTTTTTTTTTTAATTTGCTTCTAATATAGTAACTAAGAAACTGAGGTACCTTGAAGTACCCGAACAGCGACTAACAACTCTATCAGACGTAAGAGCTGATAATTAGACTCGTTTCTAGCAGGACTTAAAAAGAATCAAGATTGACGTATAAACACGTCTGTAGTTGGTTATATTTCAGACGTTCATGTCTGAAAAAGACACTTTCAGAAAAAAAAACGTATATATACGTCTACGCCGCAGAAAGGTCTAATGCAGTTCGACCTCTTTTAGTCCGGCACACTTGGAACCAGAACACTGCCGAATCATAGAATATGCTGTATGTCAGAAATCACCCCTACTACTCCACCGTAACGTAGCTAATCCCACTTACAGATTCCTGCTCAGGCATAATTGTGTTTGTTCAACACCTTCCGTGCCTACCTGTGCTTTATACTGAAGTATGCTAAGGTTTACTAGACAAGGTTGTGGTTTATAGTGAACTATAACTAAGGTCTATTCAGCATCATCTAGAAAAGAATTAAAGTATCATGCGACCTTTGAAAACCTAATTTTCAAGCTAATTTTAAGAGGGTCGCATCATACACGAGATATAAAATTAGTGTATGAACTGCTGGCCCTGGCTACACTGTTGACCAAACTATATATCCATTTACTGTAATCAAATTAGCTATACTATATAAATCCTTATAGATAATCAAAAGAAGGGATGGTAAAAAGTGGGGGATCAGTTTTGCATCGTTATTTGGTATTAAGCAGAAACCACATTTCTTGGCCATAGCAAATTCATAGATGGAATCCCAAAACCCCTCACTTTATATCACATTTCATTTATTGGTAATCAAATGAAATGTGATATAAAGTGAGGGGTCAGTTTTGTATTGTTCTTTAGTATTAAACCCATCCCTCATTTTTGCCCACTGTATATGCTATCCATTTCTATTATCTAGATAGGATTTAAGTAAATTCCAAACAATATTCTTATAAGTTGGTTTGTTACCGTATATACTCGCGTATCATGCGACTTTTGAAGATCTAATTTTGAAGCTAATTTTAAGAGGGTAGCATCATATACGAGATGTAAAATTAACGTTTGTACTGCTAGCCGTTGACTAAACCATATATCCATTTACTAAAAAATTTGTTAAAATGTCTAGCTGTATTTAAAATAAACCTGATTTTTATAAAACTGATGTTTTATTTAACTGTATCGAATAATAATGCATGTAATATTCACATATTAGTATCTTACTTATTATAAAAGGCAGATTGTGTGTGTGTGTGTGTGTGTGTGTGTGTGTGTGTGTGTGTGTGTGTGTGTGTGTGTGTGTGTGTGTGTGTTCGTTTATATATGGGATCGGATTTCCTACATTTTTCAACCGATTTCAACAAAACTTCACTTTTTTTTGGCAGGTAGTGTTTCTTATTGTCTTGCGCACTTTTTTTTCTATATTTTTACATTCAGAATGCTTTAAAAATTCCATTTACAAGACAATTGTTTATAATAAAATTCTATTCAATTCGTAAAAAACAAACAAACAAACAAACAAAAAAACTAATTACGACATGCGTGTCCGTCAACCTTAAACAATAATCTTTGTCAATTCTATTTTTCAGTCTTTATGATGGTCGATACTTGATCTATCACTTACTGTTACATCCTCGGGCAACGCCGTCTTTACTGCTAGTCGTATTATAAAATACAAACATAGCGAATATGCATCTTTTCCATTGTTTACGTTTATAAGATGTTCTACTGTTTCTCGTTCGCTTGTTTATGGCTGTACGCGTTTACGCAACGAGTATAACGTTACTAACGATACTTTTAGCATTCTCTTTTACATTTTTAAACTTATTTAACTAGAAGATGGAATAAAGAGATAGAAGAAAATAGGTTTGTCTGTTGCAATTTGGTCTTTCAAAAAAAGGAACTCGTATGATACACGAGATGCATGATAAAATCATTTTTTATAAGTGACAATTTTAGGGTCGCACGGTGTAATGAACTCGTGCCAGTACAGACGTAAAACAGGGCTCAGGTAGCATGTGGATATGATTATCAACACCAGTTATGCGGGGTTTTTTGCCCGTTAGCTGCGGGACTGTTTTTTGCTGCGGGACTGTTTGGCATGTCTAGCTAGATATAGGCCTCTCGGCAACTGGTCAAGATCCGTGACTTTGTAAGATGTTTCATTTCTGTTCGAATTTGGTCTCTCAAAAAGGGACCTTGATATGAGACATGACATTCATGATAAAATCATTATTTTTTTAAAAGTGAAAATTTGGTGGGTCGCACGATACGCGAGATCGGGCGTTACAGGAGTATAGACGGTAAATTACGATTTGCTCACTCGCATCAAATGCGACACAGTTTTTGAGATGAAATTGGGTTTTGGTAGTCATACAAAAATTGCCCGAACCCCCACGAGAAAATGCATCCCTGGAAATTTCCATGATGACGTAATGACGTTTTTGTTGTTGTTGTTTTTTTTTGTTTTTTTTCTTCTTGTTGCTGATTTCATTCATCGTCATCGTGCAGTTAGGTAGGTCGGGTGTTTTCCATAGTGTACGAGGTACTGTAAATTGGCGGGGGGTCTTTTTTCTAATTTGCATAAGTTTTTTTTTTAAGCGTTTCACCCCAAGCAAGGCGGGAAGCCACTAGGACGCAAGGGGTTACAGAAGATTTGGAGCAAGATCAGATAGGAGTGATAGAGGAAAGGATGAGGAGAAGGATAGTGGATAGATCAAGGCAACTGGGGATGTCGATTGACATTACATTTGAATAGTTGGAGATTATAGCTCTCAGCGAAACAGTAATAGGGAAGTGAGTTCCACAGGCGTGAGGTGCGAGACATGAAGCTATTGGAGTAGAAGAGACGGCTACATTTAGTAGATTCGACTGTGAAAGGGTGAGAGCGGGATGCCAGCCTCGTCAGGCGCTTGAATTCATGAAGTCAGGGAACCAGCGAATGCAGCTCCTCGGAGTGACAGAGAGAGTCGACGGCGCGTCAGTGAGAAAGTGACGGTAGACGAGATGCCAGAACAGGGCCAATTATATTGCATATCCGCCTCTGGAGCTTATCAAGAACCCCGAGGTAAACAGATGCAAATTACAGACTGGAGATACAGAAATTCAGCAGATACCACAATTTTGATATCTGAGAAGCGTATTAACAGAAGAATGAAAGTACGACACGGAAATCCAAACGCTTAATGGGATAGCAATAAGATGCCTTCCAAAAGCTAAGCAAAGTATTAAGAAACAGAAATTATATTGTTAGAAACAAAGAAAAGAGTAATGAACTGTGATGCAATATCAGTCTTTCTATATGACAGTGAATACTGGATTATCTTCTCACAGAATAATGAGAGACTTGAAACAACAGAAATGTGGTTCTACAGAAGGATACTGAGAATATTATGAATCGAACATGGGAGCAACGACGAATTTCTAGAGAGGATAGTAATAAAAATGACATACTTAACACCAGGAAGAGGTAGCTGAAATTTCTAGGGCATATAATGAGGAAAGAGGGCTTGGAAAATCTGATACTCATAGGTCAGATTAAAGTTAAAATAATCAGAGGAAAATAATGTATAACGTAAGTAAAGAGCATGATTGAATGGAGAGGGGCTGAGTGTGTGTGGGGGTGCAAAAAGACAAAAGTTATTTAAAGCCACAAAGGACAGGAAATTGTGGAGAGCTATGAAGAAGAAGAAGTCTTCTTTGCTATCATTTGTGACATGACAGTGACAGCGAGGTGTTAAGATATTTTGAACGCTGGTAAAAGCAGATTCATGGACAGTGAATACGAACTGAAAGCACCGCTTCCCCTGCCGGGATTCGAACCTGTCATCGCTGATGACTTGTTCCCGTGCCTCAAACTGTCACAACATCTCGAAACGGCAGCCAAAATAAATAAATTAAATTAAAAACAAAGTAAAATTGCGTGTAAAGAAACATGCTTTAAAAATGCTTTAAAAATACCTCGACATCAGCCTTGCTACAGTTATGAGATGGTGGAAGTAGCGCACAGGAGAGTGGCGGTGAGAGTCACTTTGCACCGAGTGACCCGAAATCACTCATTCTCTTCATATCCACTTCCTCCTTGCGCCACTCCAACTCTGATTACCTACCCTTTTCCAACCTTCCTCTTCCTCATTTCTCGTAACTGACGGCATTCTCAACGCTATTATTATTATTATTAATAATAATAATAATAATAATAAGAAGAAGAAGAAGAAGAAGAAGAAGAAGAAGAAGAAGAAGACAGTTACAGGTTTGGCCGTCCAATCTTCATGGTCGGATTAGCAGTTTGGTCGGATTATCCAGATGGCACGAAGGTCACGGACCGAGATTAGTCAGTTACACGTCAACAAAACAATTCTGACACATTTACTATACACCCATCAAATACTTTAATTGTAAAGGTGAAAGAAACGTTCAAATGAATTTTTTTGTTTTCAGATTGAAAGAAGGTCAAACAATACGACAGGTACTTGTTGAATAAAGTGATAGAAACCCAAAGAAATAAGAAAAGCTCATAAAGTGGCTTTTCAACAAATGTGGGGGTCGGATAAAGAGAAATTCGGGCGACGGGGGTGCGTAAGCGTCGAATGGATTTATAGAAATCTAAAGAGAAGAATATAAAGAGAAAGATAGATAGATAGACGATAGATAGATAGATAGAATGAAGAATGGATAGATAGATAGATAGATAGAATAGATAGATAGATAGATATGATAAGGTTATGAGATAGAAGATAGATAGATAGATAGATAGATAGATGGATAGATATGAGATATGTGATAGATAGATAGATAGATAGATAGATAGATAGATATGAAGAGGCTATGTGATAGATAGATAGATAGATAGATAGATAGATAGATAGATAGATAGATATGATAAGGTTATGAGATAGATAGATAGATAGATAGATAGATGGATAGATAGATGGATATGAAGAGGCTATGATAGATAGATAGAATAGATAGATAGATAGATAGATAGATAGATGGATAGATAGATAGATAGATAGATAGATAGATAGATAGATAGATAGATAGATATGATAAGGTTATGAGATAGATAGATAGATAGATAGATAGATATGAAGAGGCTATGTGATAGATAGATAGATAGATAGATAGATAGATAGATAGATAGATAGATAGATATGAAGAGGCTATGTGATAGATATGAATAGGCTATGAGATAGATAGATAGATAGATAGATAGATAGATAGATATGAAGAAACTATGAGATTGATAGATATGATGAGGCTATGATGAGATAGATAGATAGATAGATAGATAGATAGATAGGAAGGTCAGTAGGTTGGTAGGTAGGTAGGTAGGAATTTATTTTCGAGGTACAATATTGCTCAGAGCTTTTACTCAGTCGATAAACAGGTTCACTAGAAATCAACCTTTACACACAGAGCAAGTATTTCCATTAATTACACGTGAACAAATTTTTGTCGAATTAAAATTTAATTTGCTTAGACGCCCTGTACCTGTGAAATTGAATAGAAAAAAAAAGTTTCTCAAATTTTGGTTGGATTTAAAGATGGTAAATTGTACCTATCGACTCACAGATGAATAGAGACAGCAGAGTAAGAAACGATATTTTAAAGGCGCGGAAAGCGAAAAGACACATAGAATTAGAATCAGAAGTTTCCTTCCTGACAAATCAACCATGGTGACCGATATTACATAACAGTTAAGTCATCTAATTTTCCCGTTGCTTAATACTTTGTTTAGCTTTTGGGAGTCGTCTTTCCTCATGCCAGTAAACCTTCGAGAAGAAATTGGCGAGCTTGTCTAAATAGATGACATAGCGAAGAACAGAGAGATCTTACTAAGACCTACAAATGATAAGTGTTTGTGGAACAACCGTGATCACCCACGTCCTGAAGGGACACGGCACATAGATGAAGAAATAAGAATAAAAAGTTTTCTGTCAAATATTGGTCAAGATGGAAAAAATAACAAGGTGCTTGGCAGTCTACAGTACTTGAATCTGCATAACGAACTGAGAGACAGAAACAAAATGTAATACTGAAGACGTCCTGGGTATGACGATAAACTCCATCCGGCAGCAAGGCCTCTCATTGGGAGGTTTTTCGGTGCGTGGAACCACCTCTTCATTGCTGTTATTCCTAGATCCATTCCGACCTTGGGTGGTAACACCTGTCAGGATCCTAGCTATGGGCAAAACGTGAACCACCAACTAAAAACAAAATACTATGATAGAATAAAAATATATTCTTATAGTAAAAAGACCAGCAATTTTTTTTTGAAGATTGTAGTTATACGGGAAGTAATAAACGGAAGGGAGTTCCAAAGGTTGGAAGTGCGAGAAAAGAAACTGTTGGAGCAAAAGTGTCGGTTGCATTTAGCTATTTCAACTGTAAAATGGTGGAACCTAGGTGTCAATCTAGTAGCACGGTATAATTCATGTAGACGGGTCACCAGGGAAAAAAGCTGGTGAGAGCAATTGCCATGAAAAATATTTTTAGAAAAGACAGAGGGAAGCCACGTGACGTCGGTGATAAATTGACTGAAGTCGGGATGCCGGTCAGGATCGATTACAATGCAAATCCTTCTTTGGGTTTTGTCAAGAATCTCGAGATGTACAGCAGTAGACAGACCAGATATGACAACAGTATTCAATGCACGGATGAACGGTAAATTTGTAAATGTGCAAGAAAGATTCTGACAGGAAAAACGTTCTAGCACGGCACAGTGAACCAACTTTCCTAGCAGTAGATGCAGCTGTTGATTCGATATAGTCGTTCCACTTCATGTCAGTGGAAAACGTGAGGCTAAGAAGGCGTAGAGTGTTGCTCTTCTGGAGTGTAGCATCAGACAGAAAAGCTTCTCCGTTACGTAATATCAGTTCTCATATGCAATCTTGAAATTTATAGCAGGAGCACCAGACCTGATTTTGCTGTAATACTCAGTTCCCGGGCGAATGGTAGATTTGTAAATGTGCAAGAAGGATTGTGACGAGAAAAACCGTCTAGCACGTCACAGTGAACCAACTTTCCTAGCAGTAGATGCAGCTGTTGATTCGATATAGTTGTTCCTCTTCATGTCAGTGGAAAACGTGAGGCTAAGAAGGCGTAAAGTGATGGCTTGCAGGAGTCTAGCGTCAGTCTATTTTCGATCAAATTTTGTTCGTATAACCAAAATTTGATCTACGCGGTTTTATTCATTTACATCGTCTGAGAGTTGGCCTCATATTCATTGCTATACTCACGACGTTTCGGCCGGTGTACACTCCTGCCTTCTTCAGGTGATTGGAATTTCTAAACGATCCCTTTATTCCTTCACCTGGGTAGATTGATCTAGTTCCACGTGCCGTGCCTCTTCTGGATATCTCAGTTTCAGTTAATTTCATTTTAGTAACTCACAACCCCCCACCCACCCCAAGTTGTTGTTCCCTCTGCTGTGGTCAGGTATTGAACTCACAGCTCTTTGGGTCAAGTCGCTTTTTGGATCAATCAACCAACGCTTTTATCCAATGTGTCATGTATCCTTGGGGTTATAGGCGTTGGTTGAGTGATCCAAAATGTGACTTGGCAAATGGAACTAGAAGAATATACACCCGTGGACCAAATAAAGAGTTCGGTTTGAAATTCCAATGTATATCCCCTGAAGAAGGTGGAGCGTACAACGGTATAAACGTAGTAAATATGACAATAAAAAGGAGGAGAACAGTCCGAACGATGTAAATAGTGCACATAGTTAGAATACCACACATCAGAAATATAGACAGATACTAAAGAAGACCGAATCGTACAACGGCCGAAACGTCGTGAATATGGCAATAAAGATAAGGACAACAGTCCAAACGATGTAAATAGTGTAAATAGTTACAGTATCTAAGAAATATTGAAAGATGTGGCTTATTCATATATGAGTTATGTCTCTATCAATTACATTCTACATTCTCTTAGACGATTAAGCATAATCCGAGCAAAATTTAATAAAAACTTTTGTTTCTTTTCTTTCCTTTCAAGTAAGGCAACAAAGCCACTAAGACGCAGGAATGTTACTGAGCGTGAAAGAATATAAGAAAAAAATACTATTAAGGAGAGAGAACGATAAAAGAACGGAAATTAAAATGGCAGAATATAACGACTGGCATTGAACTAAAATTTTTGAGGATGAATGTTGACTTGAAAGCAAGAAGCCGGAAGAGAGTCCCACAGACGAAAAGTATCAAGTGCGTCCCACACATAATAATCAAAGGGGTTGTAGTCTGGGGAGTTAGGTGACCAGATCTAAGGGGGTGAGTGATCGCAGATCATACTGATTATAAAACCCAGGTTGTGTGTGTGTGTGTCTGTTCGTTTATATATTGGATCGGATTTCCTACATTTTTCAACCGATTTCAACAAAACTTCACAGGACTACGTAAAATTACCTTGCGGTGGTTCTGACAGCGCCCAAAATTAGAAAAACACAATTGTTTTTGCACGAAATCAATTTGAAAACACGATTAAGAGGCATCGCTTTCGTGAGAATGAAAGGGGACAATTCATATCGAGTTATAATTATTATAAAACCCAGGTTGTTTGTTTGTGTGTGTGTTCCTTTATATATGGGATCGGATTTCCTACATTTTTCAACCGATTTCAACAAAACTTCACTTTTTTTAGGCAGGTAGTGTTTCTTATTATCTTGCACACTTTTTTCTTTATTTTTACATTCAGAATGCTTTAAAAATTCCATTTACAAGACAATTGTTCATAATAAAATTCTATTCAATCTGTAGATCCATAACGATTGAAAACAATGTTTTTGTTTGAGTTTGCGTTTGACCAATTTGTAAAAAAAAAAAAAAAAAAAAAAAACTAATTAAGACATGCGTGTCCGTCAACCTTAAACAATAATCTTTGTCAATTTTATTTTTCAGTCTTTATGATGGTCGATACTTGATCTATCTCTTTCTGTTACATACCCGGGCTCTACTGCTAGTATTGTCTAACAGCCATGATTGGATTCTCCTGCTTGTATGGCATGTTGCCAGACACAGGGCCTTCAAGCAGCCACCCTCTTGACCCAAAGCAGCACTACCTCCTCAATGCACTTCATGTAAGCCCCAGAGACTCTGTGGGAAGATGAATGGAGGTAATCGTTCCTATCACTAGTGATCACTCT